CTACCCAGCACGTCTGGCAAAGTTCGAACGAGTGGCGCCGCAAAACAGTGTACGCAGAAATGATAGGGCAAAACGCTGGAAGGCCCAAGCACCACAGATCATCAGCCGAGCCGAGTTTTTGTAATTGCCCACTTTGTGACCGCTGCCGAATCACAAATCGGCAATAATACTGCTTGCTAGAACACTACTTTAGCAGGCTGTAAAGGGAAGGCTGATTTCCATGCAAACGCACAGATGCATAACCTGTAAATGTGGTGAATTTCAGTGCCCATTCATTTCAGAACAACGGATTTCGCTTAGAGAATGCAAATGAAAAGCAACTACAGCTGCCACCTAGTTCTAGGAATAAAGACGCCTGTCGGAAATATTTTGAAAGTAACTTCGTGCCTGGTACACCCATAGCAACACTGACTACTGGACACTAAGAAGCCGTAAAGTGGTCGTCGCAAGAAATTAGCAGGAGGAAATATCGAACAGGAAAAAATCAAACTGACTTCTTTTAAAGAAGATAGTATGTTGTCTGAAAACTGCACGCTCACGTATCGACCAAGCAATCGATAGGTTTCATAAGCACGGTGTGTTTTGGCTTCGGGAACATCCTTCGTAATTCCACTGATACTTTTTTCATCGGCGATATCGCCAAACACATCCATATTGCAAATCTGAATCTCACTGCTCAGAGTAAAATTATCAGACTAAAATAGGATCCAACTCATCCAGTAATCATATTTACGTCAACTGCAAAAAAATTCGAGTGAATTTATGTGTTTAAATTGGCAAAAATTCGCGCAACCTGTAGCAAAAATCGGTTATAAGCTCGCAAAAACTGTAAATTGTAAACTGTTTTGAACAGCAACCCCAAACGGCTTAGTACGTATGCGGGTGAGATGCATGCAGATTCCTAAGCTCTAGCTGCTACATGCGAGATACCAAAACCAGCATAAGTTACGATTCGAAACCGAAGTAGAACTCTTCATCTCTTCATTTAATAGTGGGAATGAGGGGTTCGATTCCCTCTCCGGTTCACATCCACTGCAAAACACGCCCCATTCGCGATAGCCTCTACAAATTTTTCGCCTACTGAGTATTATGAAATTTTTCTAGTAATAAGCTTGCAGAAACCATCCCGACAAAACTTTCTCAAAATCTTTGAAGAGTAAATATGTCACCAAAACTTTTGTTTTTGTCTCACGTACACTCACAAAATAAATCGCAACAAATTCGCTTACAAAGTCAAAATCTGGCGTCATCAAGCCTTATTGCATCTGATTTTTTCTACAAGAACGGAAGTGCTAGCCTTTGAAATGAGAGGGTGTTTGTAGCAGTGACAATCACCCGCTGATAACAGTGTCAAATACCCAACTTTCTACTAGCACATTCCATTCAACCCACTGCGATGATACAATAGTGGTTTAGAAGTTTCAAGTATCCGTACCTCAACAACATCAGCCATGCATGGATCGAGATCCCCCGGACAGAGCTGTTCTTCCATCGCTGACAGCAGTTTGTGAACATAAAAAATCATAACATGCACCTGGAAAACATAGAACACTCAGCCAACAGTAAATAAATGGCCAACGCACGGGCTGCCCGTGCGAAGATGCGTTTTTTGCAGAGTTCCCCGC